AGGAGTCAAGCAGCACAAAACAAGCTCCATGAAGACAGGAAAATGATGGCAGCATCCCCAGGGCCTAGGACAGTGGCCGGCACTGAGGACGTTCCAGACTTGGGGACTGACTGAGCCTTGAAGAACAGACAAAGCACAGACAGCAAGCACAATGGCTCAAGGCACATCCAAAAAAGCAGAGCGCAGCCGAGGCTTCCCATGTGGGGCTCAGGAGATGGTTTTCAAAGCTTAGGCATTGACTCCATAACTGGTCCCTCACATTTGAAAACACATTCCCCAGCCAATTCCCCTTTAGCCCCTCTGACTGCAAGAGAGAAAGTTCCAGTATGGTGCCAATATGCTTTTAGTCCTCCCTAGCTCTTGACAGTTTCCCTTTCTAACACACAGGGAGAGCTGCCACTTCTTCAGTGACTTTGGAAAACAATGAAATTCAGCCAGAATTCAACAACACTGTTGTGTCTTCAATGCATTTATTTTTACAGTTACTCCCTGTAATAAAAAGCAGGAGGTATGTGCTTAAAGACACAAAAATGCAAAAATCATGCAGGTGGTACATGATTCTCCATGACAAAAACCAGGCATCCGATGATCTTCAATGCATTTATTTTTACAGTTACTCCCTGTAATAAAAAGCAGGAGGTATGTGCTTAAGACACAAAAATGCAAAAATCATGCAGGTGGTACATGATTCTCCATGACAAAAACCAGGCATCCGATGCCTGAATTGAATTGTCAGAGATGCTAGGTGAGCAAAGCCAAAGCAGAGACACTTGAAAGGCAAGTTCTAGGAGCAAAGAGGACAGTTCATGACAAAGGCCAGGGTTCACGTGAAGCGGTACTGGAAGATGAGGCTAGAAAGGTAAACTGAGGCCAGGTTGTGGATTGCCGCACAGGCTAAAGGAGGTGTCTGGACTTTCACCTGTGACCGTGGGGGCCACTAGAGGTCTTCAGCCCACCTGACTAGTAGAAGGCCCATCTTCAAAACTGGACTGGTCTGCGGTAGAAAGGGAGCTAAGCTGGACTCTGCAGACTCTAAGGCAGAGAGGCCCAAGCAAGCAGCTGGAACCGCCTCAGCTCTGCTGACCACAGTGAGGCCTTGAGAACACACCCAGCACCCCAAGGAGGATTTGGCTTTTCACAAAATTCTGCACTTCCCAGACCCCCTCTCCTCCCAGGGCAGAGTATGAAACAAATCATAGGACAACACAGTTAGCCTGGGAGACAGGTGTTAGCAGTCTTCTATGACAGAGACTTATCACCATATATGGAACAGAACTTCTAGGGAAAAGGAGAGAGAGAAAGAAAAAAAAGAGAGAGAGACTGGAATATGCTTAAAGAAAAAAAGAAAAAAAAAATCCTGAAGATAGCCTAAACACACACCCAGCCCCTAATGCCTGCCTCACTGTCTGCTAGCCATATGGTGTGTGACAAGCCAGAACGCTTTTGCCTTCCTTGACTTGTCTGTAAAGCCAAGAGCTAGCCCCATTGAGAAAGCTCCACTTGCAGCAGAGACTGCGTCATGCTCTTCAGCTCCAGCAAATGGCTCCCAGTCCCCAGTGCCTGCTCCAGGGGGCAGTCTGACTGCCACCCCCTCCCCCATCCTTGCTGCCTGCCTCGGCCCCCGTGTGAGCCACAGCCTCCCCAGCTGTTTTCCCACAACCCCAGGACCCCGAGGCCATGCCTGCTACTTACTCAGCCAGCTGTGCCACATTGTGGACAGCTGGCCACTCAGCAGTATTCGGCCTTGCACTCTGCCACCCACCTAGGCCCTCTGCTATGACCCAGACAGTAGCTGGTAGGAAAAGCTTTCCTCATGGCTGTAAAGTATCAGCCACCTTGGACGTGCCTTAACAGCGATGCTGCCTCAAGCCATAGAGGCCACAGAGATACATGTCTGCCTGGTGTAGCCCTCCAACCCCATCTCCTTGTAGGAGAAAATGGCCAAGCAATAACTCCATCCAGATTGCCCTAGGTCCCACTTCACTAAAGCAGGCCTGCTCTCTTGCTCTCCCTAAAATAACCCAAATAATCATATAAAGGTCTGTGCTTGCTCAGTCCTTGGGAGCCCTGTTCTCAGCCTCCTCCAAACTCCTCTGACCACCACCTCCATCTCTCTTCCTGTCAGCCAGGTTTTGATTGAGTGGAGACGTTCTGCTTGTGGGGTGGAGGAAGATCATAGAGTTGAATCTGCCAACAGGATGCCAAGTTAAATTTGAATTTGAGATTAACAACAAATCGTTTTTAGTATATCCCATGTAATATTTGGGACATGCTTATTCTAAAACTTATTTGTTGTATATCTGAAATTCAGATTTAACTGGGGAGTCCTATATTTTTATTTACTAAATCTGGCAACCCTAGATATCAGGAAGTAGCAGGACCAACCCCTTGGGCAGCCCTGCTCTTCCCCAGTAACCTACAGAGGCTACCAGAGAAACAACCCTGCCTCTGGCCTGTACCTCACCATTACCGTTCGCTGGTGCACTCTGAAAAGGCTGCAGGCTCTGTGTGGTCCTGTGTCACAGCTAAGACCACTGGTAGCTATGAACAAAGGGCAACTTCTCAGCCAAAGTAAGAAGTCACAAAGAACCCTGAAGGAAAGCATTTCTGGCACACACCGAGCACAAGGAAGCCCAAGAGAAGATGCACATCCCCAGCAAGTGTGACTACAACAAGCACAGGCACTCAGAGGCCTGGCAGTGTTTACATGTGAGCCTGTCCTGATCCGCCGCACACACTCCCAAGGGCACCCACGAGCCAATGTAACCTAAGACCAAGAGGGCACGGCTGGTTGGCTCAGCAGGAGCATGAACAGATTTATAAATGGCAACCCAAGCTCGAGGGCAGCTGGTCTGGGCAGGCCCTGGCATGAGTCCTGGCAGAAGACACAGCACAGCTCCACTGAAAAGCATCTCAGGGACATGGGGCAGACCAAGTGCCATGGATGTATGGGGCATTTCTCTATGTACAGCCCAGAAGAATCTAGAAGCAGCTGTTATTCTCCTGCTCGGACACAAACAATTCAATAATAGAATGACACTTCATTTCCAATCTCTATTTTTACTATTGGTCAGAAATCCACTGGCTAATAATATTAGGTTTAACTATATAAAATTGTCATTTTTTAAGTAAAAAATGCTAGAATATTGGCAATTACACATGGCCCAACCAAATAATAATAATACTGAGCACCTGCTATTTATCAGACACCATGATTTATGCATATTCATCATGTAACATTTAATTCTTACGACCGCTTTAAGGGCCACGGTAAGTGCAGTTGGCCCTCCGTATCCATGGATTCTGCATTCTTGGATTCAATCAACCATGGATCAAAAAAATCCAAAAACAAATTGCGTCTGTACTGAACATGAACACTTTTTTCTTTTTTTTTTTTTTTTTTTCTTTTTGTCTTTTTTTC